GATGCAAAGCGGCATGAAACAGATAGCATTTTTTAAAATACCTACTCTCGCCGCGTATCGGCACTTCACAATCCTCTTAAGCATAATATGTCTTCGCATGATCACGCTGTAGCGTCATTAATAGTACCAAGAAACAGATAGAAAAAAAATCTAAAACTATAGGCCTCTGTATCGATAACAATGACTATTACAATAAGATTTTCCAAAAAATATTTTATGTACAGATTCGACTCAGAATTTTATTATATACTACATAATTGCTGAAAATATTTTTTATCACAACTTTATCATGCAATTATCTTTATTAAAAAAAGACTGGAGAAAAGCATCTAACAAAGATAAAATCACAGCGCTAACTCGACAACGATCGCACGATGAAGGTCGCTCTAGTTCTATAGAGACAAAACGATGAACGGATATTGCATCGCCACACCGGCATCGATCGACTCTTATTTACTGCGACGAAATCATTCACTATTACTCGGTTCTTACAAGGCTTAGCAGAAAATCGCTGCATTTACTTTTATGAAGGCACTTCCTTTAACTTCTCATTTGAAGAATCCAGTCGCCGGATTCCGAATGCCGCCCATCACACCGTCAAGTAAAAGATTTCATTAAGATCTAAACGGCGCATAAAGAGCCCTCAAATTTAATTTAATTTATCGCACATAAAAGCAAATTGAAGCACTTTCACACAATTTTACACAGCTAATTAGACTGTGTAGCGGAGACAGGCATATTAATTATAATTATTAAATTTTAGTATCTGTTGTAATTTTAGACCGCATATGTTTTATGGAATTAACAAGCTGTCGTAAATTTATGATGAAATAAGGGTTTTGTTCTTGTAATCAAGTAGGTAACTTCTGATATTCTTTACACCGTGTAACTTTAAGTATTGTTAATTTATAAATGATGTAATGTTAGAGGCTAATTATATTTAACCATGGCTTAATGATCAAGTTCTTATATTTAATAAATACCACAGATCACATAATAAGTACTATAACAAAATTGTAACTGAGTCGAATAAGCTGTTACTTTAAATAGTCATTATTATCGATACAAAGTCCGAATCTATAGTTTTTAGAATTTTTGTCTGTCGGTCTGGGAACGTATCACGAGAAAACCACTGGACAGATTTTGATGAAATTTGTTTGGTGATAGCTGGTTATCCAGGTCAACATTTAGGATAGTTTTTACTGCGAAAAATGTCATATCTGAGAAATCTATACTAACCTTAAAACGTAGTGACGAACCCGAGCGTAGCGTGGATGGGTCGCTAGTTTATTAATATTAATATAATATACCCATACTTTTGTACTGTAATATTATTTTATAAAATTGAAAAATGCATTTGTTTTATCGTGTTAATCCTTAAAACTTATAGTGCAATTTGAAAGATTCTCTTTATGTTTTGTAAGTAACATTATTATGTTACGAGTCTTTAATAGTCTTAGTAATGGGGCAGTTCTACCTACGAGTACATACATAAGTAAACTTTGCCACCAGAGGGGCAAAAAAAATAGTTTATGATAAATTTTAGCTATGTATTATTGAAGTAATTAATATCAAAATGTAAAACGTTACGAAAATCAATAATGTTTATATCTAACTTTAATTATCGGTTTTTATTTCCTTTTCAAACCTTCTTTTATTATTACAATCACATGCTAAGTCTAGATCTCATTTATAAATTACTATGAAATATTAAGGTATTTTTTCTCTATTTTAAAATAATTATACATTTTTTTTATATTTCTTATATACATCCTTAAAATAAATTATATATTAAAAAAATAGCTAAGATGTCGAGGTAGTAGGTACGCCCATTTTAATTAACTAAACCATCCACGGGCAACTTCATCCACGACTTACTAAGGTAGCAGAAAACTTTCTCTTCGTAATTTTGTCTCTAGCTTTTAGAAGTTGACCGAATGTTATTTAAATTGATTTTTACGTTATAAATTAAACAAACACCTATACATATACACAGATCATATAATATTACATATATAATGGACTATCTCTTGATTCTATCGTAATCTGAGAAAGTACAACATAACTAACTGTATGATTGTTATCTCTACTTTAAAATTTATTAAATAATAGAGTAAATAAAAGTTTAAAATGTTTTACCTGTAATTAAAATTAAGTAAATATTATTAAGCTTTTCAAAGTAAAATTTTATTTAGTTCATAATATGTTTGCTTATTTATCATTTATCAAATATTAATGGAGTTTTATTTATTGTACCAAGCACAACATACTTGATTTTAATGTTTACATTAATAATACAGTATCTTTTATTCTCCTCTTTAGGTAGAAAGTTCTAAAAAAATAATCAAGTAATAGGCACAGCGCTGGATTTACACTAGGGGCACTCGGGGCTAGTGTCCAGGGCGGCAAATTTTTATGGAGGCAAAATTCGAAGGGCGGGAATTTTTTTTTCCAAATTATCGAAAATGCTCTTTTTTATTTTACAAAAAATGAAAAATAAAAAAAGATTAACTAGTAGTTACATTTGTTCGAAAAATTGATATCATTTATTATTTATTTGCATTTTTCAAAAAAATAATAATTAAAAAATTAAACTATCGAAACTTTACCCGTTTTATGCAAAATTTCGGTAATTCGGCGACATTTTTTACTATACCCAGGGGCGGCGCCAAGGTTGAATCCGGCACTAAATAGGAAATAGACAGTGGTAGCCCAGTGGTAACACCGGTGACAAAACCCTCATCTCCAGGACCCTGGAGATGAGGGTTACCTCTGATATTTTCATGTGCAAATCATTTCCAACATAATTAGCATTTGTCTTACAGTGAACGAAATCATCGCGAAAAACCTTAGTACTTGTCTGAGAGAACCTAGCAAGTTCTTGAAAGACATGCTCAGTCTGCTCGTATTTGGTTAGCATAGTGGATTATGGCCTTCAGGCCGGAGCCTGGGGTTCCATCCCAACTGGTTTTTAAGAGAGGCCCGTGCCCAGCAGTGCGACGTAAAAAGGTCTGAAAACAATTCGATCAGAAAAACTGAATCACCTGAACGAATATATTATGGGTTTTTAATGATTGTTGGTTTTATTTTTATTTCACATTTTTAATATGAACACACTTTAAGGTTTTTTTTTTATTTCATAATTTGCCCCTCAGAATGTGGATTTTAGTTACAGGAGATTCGAGACCATAGAAAACTATAGTAGGCATAAAATCTTATAATTATATATACATACATATATTCCAAAAGTCTAAGTCTCATCTTAGCGTACAATGAAAGATAATGTCAAGATCTAAATCCCCGGAGTCCCGCACAATCTTCCGGCTACTTACATAGTAATATTATTTCCTGTACTAGTTGCTGAAAACGCTATCATTTGATTTCCCCTGAGAATCTCTGAAAAACGTTGATTTTACGATACAAATATTCAGTGGATCTCTCTTATTTATTATCTGTAAAAGTTTCTATATAACATCGGATTATATGCCAGTATTGTTTTATTCCCATGTTGAAACCGGAATTTAACAAAGTTTCTCTATTTGTATCTATTAATATGCACTAACTAAAGAAGGTAATGTAAATTTATTTAATATTATTTAAAATATTGAGCTTTTTTAAGCCATTTCTAATTTTTTAAGTGTAGATGAATGGTCTGCGGTGTATGGCTGCACGTACCATATATGATAATTGAATTGGTCATCAATTTTTAGGTTTTTAGGAATGTTAGATACCTTCTTTTTAATGTTGGGAAATGCATTCACGAATACTACTAGTATACGTACAGGTAGGTGGTTATGCGAATGAGTATGGGATTCGCCGGCTAGAAAAGCCAGTACTAACCACTAAAACCTAACAGGATAAACACCAAAACCTAACCTCGCAGGATCGCTTACGCACTCAAATACAACGCCCCAACGACAGGTCTACCGAAACAGACCACAAGAACCATGGGGTTGCCCTCATGGTCCGCATGGCACACGCTCTACCGAGGTGAGCCGCCTCCCAGTGCATTTCTTGGCTTTGCGCCTGATTCCATTGCCGGAAGTTAATGAGCACAGAACCCCAACCCAACGACACCACAGAATAACGTATGTATTTTACTTTTGTCTTTTTGCTAACCCCCGAACATGATATAAAGACATTTCCAATTTCATATAACGTATAAGTACATTGTACTGTGTACAAAATACTCTAAGATACAATTAAAATAATGAAAAGCAACAATCAGCTATTCTTATAATGAGGGTAAGAATGTCAACTGAAGTAATATCTGAGTGCTGAGTGGGCATTCTATAACGAATTGTACAACAATAATTAAATCGATCATTATGTATAGGGTTCATACTCTGAAAATCAAGATGATGATCCATCAGATCCATATGCTACGTTTTTAGTTTAGTAGTTTTTAGTTAGTTTATTTATTTGCTTTTCCTGACAAAGTCATTAACGCCCAATCAAGTTGTTAGACCGAGTTGTTAATAGCATCACGCTCACTGTTATAATGGTTAAAGTTTGTATGTATTTTACTTCTATACGCTGAAACGACTGAACGGATTTGGATTAAATTTAGTACACACTTAGTAATAAAATTTGCCAAAATGTGGTGCTACGTGTATATAATATTATAAATACAAATAACACCTGAGGGCGCGCTCGACAAAGCAAGGGCTAGTATTCTTATAATAGTATAGACAGCAAGGTAAAGATTTTTATAATTGAATAACCCTCTTGAAAGAGTAAAAGTAGGGAGCAAAATCTAAATGGAACATACTGCTAGTATAATACAACATATGACAATAATAATTAGAGCTTAACATCGATTGTTTATAATATTATAATGCTATGTAAATAATTATAATATAAAAAAAACACTTATATTTGGTTTGTCTGCTATACTATAAAAATAACCACTTTAATTAAAATTAATTTAATTCATAAGCACACAAAGTTTAAAACAATGAATATTTAATGAAAAATTTTTAGAATAAATGAATGTATTATACGGAATACTCCTTGGTAAGTTTGGCAACGTGGTGCGCCGCGACGGCGGCGCGGCGCGGCAACGTCGCCACGTCGTCGCCGGCAGCGGCGCGCACGCTGTACGCGTGGAGCCTGCTCGTGCCTTGTTGCATACGACCTAACACCCTATTGGGAGTCGTTTTTAAAGTTATACTTCTTTTGGCACGTTTGGTAGAAAATATGAGAGTAAAATTTTTACGATGCGCGCACACCGACAGACAAAAAGCGACACGATGAAGTTAGCTGCATTCCTTTTACAAACAGAGAGTTGTGATATACGATGAAATCTTCAGCTATTTTTCTTCTGTTACGCCAAAGAATTATAACTTTTTACGTGCGTGGATAAGTACACACATACACACGTTTTTTTTAAAATAATTATTACTGGTAAATCCATAGAGATAGTACACATAGAGTAGGCAAGCCGATCAAAAATGTGATATCCCGATAGAAAGGGACAAAGAATAACAGATTACAGAACCCTTTGTATCTCCTTTTACTTTTAACTCTTTTAAATATATTTTTTAGAGAATTAGAATGTACTATAATGAATTAATCAATACAAAATACAATAAAAATTGTGCGTGATAATAATATATAAAAGGTTGAAGTTATATTAAATGTGTAAAAAACTAAATAAAATTTAATTTCACAAAGTATATTTTAATTTACTACAAAAATTAATATATTTTTTGTAAATAATTAATTCTTCGTTACTTCTGTGCATTTCTTTTAATTTCAGTTATGCGCCATATAAAGTCTACTAATTAATGCGCATGTATCGTGAAACAAAGGTAGAAACTAGGCAGATATTTTCTATCTTTTTTTCTCCACGAATCACCGCCACTTATAGTACTAAGTGAGAGTTGCCTACTCTATATCTTTATATTATCTCTATGGGTAAAGCTTATATGCATGACGCTTTTTTTATCTATATGAACCGTCGCAAGACAGTGCAACGCGCTCGCCTGGGAAACCGAGTAAAGCGGGTTCAAATCCTGGGTCTCGCACCTCTGATATTTTCATGTGCGAATCGTTTCCAACATGATTAACACTTGTCTTACAGTGAATGAAAACATCGTGAGGATACCTGCATGTATGAGAGAACTTAGAAAATTTTCGAAAGACATGTGGAGTTCGACAACCCGCACATCGCCAGCATGGTAGACTACGGCCTGAACGTATTTAAGGGAGACCCGTGTCCAGAAATGGGACATTAAAAAGAACTGAATACAACAACTCTAGAAGCCATTCTGTTAACCGATTGCACCTTAATATCACCATAGTAAAATAATACAAGATATTTAGACCTACCTTACAGTGCACGGTATCTGCAACTCCGGTAACAGATAGTCAATTTCATAGTACACAACTTGTATGGCGGGTCCGTTTTCATCTCTCACTACTAAGTTCTTAGCGCAAGATTCGCCTGCTCTTACGCTTACACATTTTCCTTTAAAGACAAAGCCATTACTTATATTATTAAGTTTAACTAGTATCTGCCCGTGGCTTCGTTCACGCTAAGGGTGTATTTTTGAAAAAGCACATGTTTATTTATTTGTTGAGAGGAGTAATCCTGTAAATTTTTGAATTGATACAGATGTGTCTTATATGATTTCTCCATACAAACCAACCCCCGCTCATCCCTTGAGGGTTTTTTTAAATCCGTTCTTAGCGGATGCCTATGTCATAATAACTAGGTATGTGTGGAAAATTTTAACTCAATACCGTTCCGCGTTTTGAGCTATACGTTCAATTAAATTCAATAGATCAGTCAGTCAGTCAATCATGGTTTCCTTATATATATATATATATATATATATATATATATATATATATATATTATTAATAAAATGTTTCGTGGTCTGTGCTTCTCACGCAAATGTGAAAACGTGTAAATTATTTTATAGGCAACTTTTCTCACCTAATAATTTCATTTTTGCATATTGCTAAATGCTGTGAAACTTATCATGTTTGATTAAAACTTAGAAGTTTTTTAAGGCTTAGACAATTTTTTCCTGTCGGTCAAAATAAAAATTTAAGCTCTGGGTCACTATAAATGCATATCCCTTATGAGTAAAAGCGTCATTCAATATTTCACTTTTTAGACCATTTTAAGAACATCGTAATGGGTGACGATTCGTTTTTTTATGCCAAACAGGCAGGATAATATAATTATTGTAACATTCGTTTAATTAATTGTATTGACTTTTAGTTTAGGAAAAATTTAATATAAAAAAGAACCATTTTAAACGTGTAAAGAAAGTTTTTGGATGTAGTTTTCTATGCCAGCCTATGCCCCGAGTTCTTTATCGCGCGTAAAAGCCCCGTAAAAATCGGTTTTACCATTTGAAATTACAAGTGCCTATATCAATTTAATTGACAAGTATAAAAAAAAACAAAAAAGAAAAGTATTCTTACCGACAATGTCATAAAACACCATAATGCCAATATCTTGTATCATCTTGTGCCACTTCAATACATTTTCTACTGATCCACAAAATACTCTCGTACCAGTTTTGTACAGTTCCTTATAAACAATGATTTTAAATGTAATATAACTATTTAAAACGTTGAAAATTGAGCATTGAAAATCAATTTTTACGATTTTGTTAAATATTAATCGGTGAAGTTCAAGCCAGACTCGAGCGACAAGGATTTCGCAAATCGGAATATAGGATCGGTAGTGCTATTCTGTACGAAATTTTAATTAACACGATAGCTGAATCCACGACTATGCTAACTACTTTTGATGTTAGTATTAATGGTCCGAGAGCCAGGTACAAATTTGGTCGATTATTTCCTCTCAAGCGATAATTAGTGGAATGCATATTCAGAGAGTTGTATCATAAAGCTTCGTGAACGTCAGCTGCGGCTCCGTGAGTGGGATGAGCGGCGGTAGCCTTCCACGCACGAAAAAAAAATATTCAATCATTTTCTCTTACCTGAAAATTTGTAAATATATTGCTAACCCAATATCTCGACGAAAGAAAACAATCAGCTGACTTTAACATGGTGAATTTTTACGTCAGATGGTCGCTCGAACACGATAAAAAATGTATACTTTCAATGATTTCCTCTCAACTGAAAATTTATCTGATGGTAGCTTATATGCAAATATGGATAAATATATATGTCAGCTGGCTCAATCTCGGTGGAAAGACCGTTAGCTGATACTTTGAAAGTCATAACGCAGGAGTTAGGCGGGAGCATTTATGGCCTATTTAAATGCATCAGCTAACGAGGTTTCCCTCAACTTACCGTCAGGTTTTTTTTATTGTTTTTTTTTTATTAATTACAGCAGTGTATTAACAATCAGCTAACAAATTTTCATATGAGAGGAAATGACGTCTTTTAAATTACTCGGCATCACGCTTCAACGAAATAAATATTCCGTATTAATACTTCAAAACTAATAAGTATAGAATCAAATTTTGTTAAAAAATAAATTTTGAATTTATTAATTTCAAAATTTAAATTTTCAGGCAAGAGGAAATGATTAAATTTATTTTATTTTTTTTCGTGCGTGGGAGGCTATTGCCGCTCATCCCGCCCGCGGAGACGCAGCTGACGTTCACGAAGCTTTATGATACAACTCTGATGCATTCCACTAATTATCGCTTGAGAGGAAATAATCGACCAAATTTTTACCCGGCTCCCGGACTATAAATACCGTTGCCAATTTAGAAGATTCTTCCCTATAAATATAAGACAGAGGATCGAAGAATATCGACTCAATAATACCTACCACCGTTCATACTTTTAGTCTACAAAACCTTAAAAATCACAAGCCAGATGAAATTAAATTAATAATGAACTCATAAATCATATAATTAATCGAAAGATGTTCCATGTTTCGGTTCAAGTTTTAATTAAAATATGAATTGTGTGGTATTAAACAGGTACCCCTCAGTTACAATTAACGAAGACGGGAATGATGCAACCATGGAATAATTCAATTAGCTTTTGTGAGATAATAAAATGGGATTTAATACGTTAAATTCGGGCAAGTGCGAGTCTGACTTATAAAATGAAAATACTTTATTTAATAATTATGTTTTAATATATCTATGTACTCGTAATCTGTTACGTTAAAAGTAAAATAAAAACCTATCACAATTTTCATTTAACATTCACCGTAAGTTTGTATTTCATGGTATTTCTATGTGAAATACCATGAAATACAAACTTAATGTGTCTTCAAGGCAAGAGTGAATAGGTGGCTACTGAATTAGTGCGACTTACCATCTACGACTGCGTTACCACTTACCATCAGGCGGAACGTAGTCTAGCACTAATTCGGAATAGTATAAAAAAAAACAAAGTTAATTTATATTCGACAATATTTAATATCTTAATAAAATTAAAATACACGTCATATCTTCATGAAAATAATTTTCGATAGAAATATTTTAGAAGCTTATTAACTAATAATAAGAATGAACTAACGCTAATTAATAATTATATTCGACTACAGTCTAGCGATCCTCATGAGATATTTACTTACCCTTCAGATACAAATCATGACAAACTATATAAGTTGGCTCCGTCGAGACATTTTAATTAAATTAAAAATATCAATTTCACATATTTTGGCGTAAGTAAAGTTTTGCCTAGAATACGAGTTTCTCATCTTCAATATGAAGCTTTATTATTAAAAACGAGAAAAAATATTGTTAACTTCATTGTTTTTACAACCTTATAATATTCGTTTATATTATATGCCATTAGTGCTTATAGTATAATGTAGAATTTAAAAGACTTTTTAATGTTAATATAAAAAGGTTATATATTTATTTAATTAAACGTCCTAACGTGCTCTAATGTGCGCCTGCACTAAACGACCGTTACGTTTGAAAATTGTATAGAATTTCTAGAGGAAAATGTCATTGTGTCACGTTCTTGCATTGTAGAATGTGTAATTAAGCGGAATGTAATGTTTGGCGTGAGAGCTTTTATTACTATGTATTATTACAATATCAGCAGAGTGTAATACAAGTAATAGTAATATCACGATAATATTACGCATACATTACCGTGGTAATATCTATCCTAATCCTAACATCTATACATATAATAAAATTCTATCTGAGTCGAATCTGTACATTATTTTTTTTTGGAAAATCTTATTGAAATAATCATTATTATCGGTACAAAGGCCAAAGCTATAGTTTTTTAGAATTTTTATTTGTCTGCCTGGGAACGTCTGGGAACATCACGAGAAAACCACTAGACAGATTTTGATGAAATTTGGTATGGTGATAACTGGCTATCCGGGTCAACTTATAGGGTACTTTTTACTGCGGAAAAATATCTCATCTCTGAGTTAAAACGTAACTAGGGACTAACCCAAGCGAAGCGAAGGCGAGTCGCTAGTATAATATAATCATTAGTGTAATTTTAGTCGAATCATGTACCAAACTATTATATGAATATGATATTTGCTTTCTCAATACGATGGCTCTAAGTTATGCTAGAATCCAATAGATTAACAAATTGATAACGTGATTTTAAAGAAAATTATAAACTTTCCGATTTTAACTCCGTAATAGGATTATTTAAATAATCTTTTCCTAAAGTTTTCCTTGCATGATAACGCTATAAAATTAATTTTTTCGTTCAACAAATCTTGATGTATAAAAATAAAAAAAAATAAGTAATTATTTCATATTAATTTTGACTATAGGTATCTCACTGATTTGTTGCCTCGAAGGTAAATAATAATTATATACACTATAGGAAAACTAATATACAAACTCACAAAAATATATTTAGGTCATATTCCTATCAATGAAGCGTTTTAATTTTTCGCTTTAAGAGTCATCACACCGTTACGTAAAAGATTTAATTAAGATTAAACGTATAGAGACGCTTAGATTTAATTTAATACATCACAGTGCAAAGTTGACACAGTTTCCATACGACTTTGCGCTAATGACTTTAGCTGGATATGACTGGCATTTTAATTTTTAAATTTTAGCCTAACTACTGCCTGTGACGCTATTTTTTATTAATTACACGGTTATATAATATTTAGTACGTTATTAGAGAAGTAAAAATCTCTTATGTCTTTAATTTTAAAAACATAATTAAAATGACCAAATCTGAATTTTAATTCTAGACAACTAAAAAAAAGAACTTTTTTAATTCTCAAAATAAAATGTTTCTCAAATAATAAAACCGGAAAAATTATGAACAGAATATTTTCCGAAACGAAGAGTTGGGAATTTTAGTTTATGTTTTACGTTTTACTTCTTAGTAGTGATTTCTCGCCGTTCTACCCGTGTAGTTTATGTATAATTTTTGTATGAATACATAATACACATATTACACTTATATCTTTAAACGAGCAATTCTTGTATATATATAATCTGAATCTCGGAAACGGCTCCAACGATTTTCATGCAATTTAGCACACGGGGGGTTTCGGGGGCGATAAATCGATCTAGATTAGTCTTATGTCTGAGAAAACGCGTGTTTTTGAGTTTTCATGCAGTTTTCTTTTGCATTATTCCACGCAAAATATGGTTGGTAATTTGCACGCTCGGACATAAGCATCGTGGTCAAGTGGCCAAGGTGCAAGATCAATAATCACAGGTATCCAGGTTCGAATCACGGTCGCACACAAAGTTTTAACTTTTGTTTTTTTTAAATAATTATTTAAGTCTTTAGTTAAAAAAAAAGAAAATTGTACATTAGGCCAAAAACTCTGAGCGAAGCTTGGTAATCCAGGTACTAATATTAATACGAATTTGTTGACACAGATATGTTGACGCTGACATATTAATCTGGTTAAGCTATATGCACGGATATATTGAAAGGATAAGTTAGAACGGATTTGTTTTCATAGATAGGTACGAGATCACGGATATAATTAAAAAAACATGTGTGTGTACTTATGTACGCACGTAAGAAGTTATACTTCTTTGGCGTAACAGAAAACTAATAGCTTAAGATTTCATCCCGTATATCACAACTCTCTGTTTGTAAAAGGAATGCAGCTAACTTCATCATGTCGCTTTTTGTATGTCTATGTGCGCGCGCATCGTAAAAATTTTACTCTAATATTTTTTTCCAAACGTGACAAAAGAAGTATAACTTCAAATATAATAAAAGAAAATGATAGCGTTTCAAAAATAAGTCTTACTGGAAACTTGACTTAAAAATTAAACACAGTTTAACAAGTTTGCGGTCCCATTTCCTTTATATGGCACATAAAAGAGAAAACTTTTAGGGGACAATGATACACTTACTTTTAGTTTCTCCGCGCGAGGTTTAACTTCGTTCTGTACTTCGCTCTTCAATAAATCAGTTTCCACTTGTTTCTTTGGAGGCACTGTATTGAAAAATATAAAGTACTTATATTTTAAATAAGTGGTATAGATATTTTTTAAAGAGACTGTATATAAAGTATTAACTTAGAAAAAAATTGACAACTTCAAAACAAAATTTATTGTGTAATCAAAATTTATTGTAAAACATATCCGAAAATAACATTAAAAATGTCGAAAGACAAAAAAATCGAAATTGCATATTACAAGACTTCCTCGATACCATTCAAAGAGAGACAATAGCATTCGCAAGGAGGGTTGACGTCAGGCAGGCGGCCGGTCGTAAAACTTTAGCGACAAAAATATGAAGTTTGATACGATAAACGAGTATCTCTTCGGAGGATGTAAATTATACAGAAATAAATTAATTTATTTATTTTATAACATTTCTCTACGTATTGTCTACTATACGCTTCAACCGTAATGCAGGTGATACGATGTCTTCCGACAGACATATTTCAGATTAAATTGGCGCGCTCGTTAAGACATGTCGACAGTTTTAATCAGCCTCCGTCGAATGAATTCCTTTCATCACCACCTGCTTAAGGTGCTGATCAACTAAGATTGAAATATAGAGCGCAAGTTATTTAGCTCAAATTAGTCAACATCAAAGTAAAACACTGGTCAGATTTCCATTTAAGAAACAAAATAAATATATGAGAAGCTGAATACTGAAAAAACCGTATGTTTATGGTGCTCTATATTTTATTTCACGAGTAAACGAAGAACCCTTGTTTTAATTAACTGTTCCGTCCACGACCGAATTGTAAGATAGTGAAAATTAAAACGTAGTAAGCAATGTCTCTTAGATACGAGTTTAAAACTTAATTAGTGTGCTACTATCCCTATATTGTAAACAAGCGACTCACCCTCGCTTTACTCGGGGTGGTCCCCAGGTTGCTTTCCCATACAAAACTTTCATCCCCATTTTCACCCTCTTAAGAGATGATTTCCAGGATAAAAACTATTTTATGTCCTTCCCTCAAACTCAAACTATCTTCTTACCAAATTTCATCTAAATCGGTTTAGTAGTTTCGGAGCCTATTCGGTACAAGCAAACAATTTTTCCTCTTTATAATATTACTTTATAGTATTAGTAAAGATACTCATTGTTTAGGTATTTGTTGTTTATTTAATTTATGCAGAAAAAGATCGACGTTTGTTTGTAACGCGCTAATCTCTAGAACCAATGGTCTAATTTGGCAAAATCCACGTGCATTTAGTAACCTATTTATTGAGGTATTATTAAATTTTATACATTTACTAAAGAGAGGAGCAATTATACATAAGTAAACGAACGAAACCACGTTCAAAAGCTAAAATAACGTGTAACAGGTAAATATGTACCTACACAATATGCTCCAAGATATTCAGACACACGACATAGACACGGATGAAAACAATATTATTAAATTCCAACATCGAATCCAAACATATCTCCAAATCTCTTATACCTACTGCTATGTTGATACCCAAATTTCTAAATGTTATCCTATTATAAGTTTTGGAAGTACCCTCATTTTAATTAACCATCCTGTCCACAATTGGGTTGAGTTACCGGGTGAAGGAAACTTTGTCTTTGCGACTTGTTCCAATGTTAACCTCTTTGAAGGTTAACCTTTTTAAATCTACCCTTTCACTTCGACATTTTACGTTTTAATTTTTTTGAGCGGAATCCTAATTCTTATTCTAAAATAAAAGTAGCCTATGTTACTACCTGTAACATCAACTATGTTCCAGTGAAAATCACGTCAAAATCAGTCTAGCTGTTTCAGAGATTATCCGGAACAAATAGACAGACAGACAAAATTTAAAAAAAAAAATGTTTTTCTTATAAGTACATAATTTCATATGCATTTAGTAAAACGCTGTTATTTTGACATTACAAACAGATTTTTATTTATCTGTATAGACGTATACTCGTAGATGATCATGACTTCTAAGAGTGATGTCATAAAATGTTAATATATGTACACAATGGTCTTGTTAATGGCTTCAAATACCAGTTGAGTACAGATTGTGAAGTAACGATGTCACGTAGAAGTATATTATTACCTAAGTATTATTATTTAAGTATATATTATTACCTAAGTAATTTGTGCAAAAAAAAAGTTAAAACTAGCTAATGCTAACTTTTATATGAGTTTTTCTTACAAAGTCGCAAAAAATATTTGAATTTTAAAATACGAAATATATTATTATTTAATTAAGAACGTTACATTATATACAAATATAGAATCTGGGAATTACTTTTTTCCTGGATACACTCGGTTGTTAAAGAATATCGAACGGCATCTCCGTTACAACGTGAAAAAAGCTCCAATAAACATTCACAATTATCATATTAACGTCAAAAGTTTTATTACTAGTTTTAGATTAAATAATAACTCACCTTATGGATTTTGCCACAGTAGGGTAAACATAACAAATCTGTTTCAATCTTACAATTGTAAAATCTTACTGTTTACCTCAAAGTGGTCTTCCCTAGGGATGTAAATAAACCCGTTATCTTTGGCAACAACCGTTATCGAAAAATCGTTTTGTCATTCAAACCTCTTTATATAGTCCTAGTGACTCACCCATTTTCACCCCTTAAAGGAACTATTCTATATCCTTCCCAGGGTCTCAAAATATCGTCTTACCAAATTTCATCTAAATCGGTCAAAATTAAAGTTATTATTATTTTTGACGGTAAACATCTTTATCGAAACAAAAAACAACCTATAAACAGGCAGTAAAGGAGTTCCCTATTAGTGAAAGAATTTAAAGAATCCTCTGTAGTTTCAGAGATTACCCAAGCTAACAAACTTTAGGTGCCTCTTAATAATATTCTGTGAAGACTGTAGATAGTACCACAGATAATAATGATTTACAAGTGTCGTAACTGTCAATATTACTGTCCACATCTATCGTAAATGAAAAAAAAACTTAATATTTTTGTAATAATTTTTAATTCACGATAGGTGTCGACCGACATAACTAATTAGAATTCTAATATAAAGCGCTTTAACACTTACTTTCATGTTTCTTCTGAATAACCTGTAGATTTTCAATCGCATTCTTTTGTGTGGGTTTCGGAAAATCATTGAACGGTTCAGGCGGTTGTACTAGAAATAGAAATAAAATTTTACATTGCATTTATAATAAGTTTTACTCGCTATAGTTTTTATAATTAGGTACATTAAAACCAACAAAGTACTTATGTAGATATTTAATTCTTGAATTTAACAATACCTAGAGGATTTTTAAAAGATGATATAATATTAATCATATTTAATTACTAGCGACTCACCCTCGCTTCTCTCAGGTTCGTCCCTAGCTTGATTCCCCATACAAACTTTAATACCCATTTTAACCCCCTTAAGGGATGATTTCCGAGATAAAAATTATTCTATGTCCTTTCTAGGGTCTCAAACTATCTTCTTACCAAATTTAATCTAAATCGGTTCAGTAGATCCAGAGATTACCCCTTACAACGTCACAAACTCACAATCTCACAAACTTACAAACGTTACCTCTTTATAATATTAGTATAGATAACTCTTGATAAATAAACTAAAAACTTCTTCCGTATAAGAATCCTATATCGCATTCAAAAAAGTAGATATGCACCAGTGGAATTAGAATTGTAGTGAAAATCGGTTAAGCCATTTTATAAATTAATGTTTACAAACAGACAAACTGATAAAAAGATACAGAAACAAAATAATAGTTATTTACTAGGCAATTAACATTTAAAATTGTTTTTATTACATTTACCTATAATATAACCACAGATCATATAATACTAAACTAGATATAACTATAGATAATGCAAACGGTATTTCATAAACTCCTAAGTACATTTGCCTCACATTATATCCCTCGGGGGATAGAGAGTTCATAGCGCAACACCAATCTGCATTTTCCACTGGCTTTAGTATTAAACATTCTAAGTTGTGATAGCCTTTATCAGACAATTTCCTGAAAAATCTAGCTATTTTCCTGTATAAACCACGTTCGGATTCATTTATTGTAGATTCTTAGTATGTATACCTATAACTAATCTATATTTTTATACTAATATTATATAAAATAGTATGACTATCTATCCATCCGTCCGTTGGTCTGTTAAAAAAATAAAATTTGCCATTTACTGTATACAATGTGGTCATATACGAGTACCTAGTTGAAGAGATGACGAAAAATAAAAATAAATCACTTGTGCACAAATGCTTGTAAGTAGACACGTTTATAATTAACGTATTTTTTAATAGTGTAAATTAAAAAAAATGTGTTAGGACATTATCACACAGCACCATCCAGTTCCATGGTAAGCTACGATGCTTGTGTTATGGATACCAGATAGTTGATAGACTACACATTGATACACTACACATATATAACTTTAAATATATACGTATTATAAACATACATGACTGGAGTACAAACTTTCGTGCTCATCACACAAACGAATGCCCCTAGCGGAACTCGAACCCGCGACCGCACAGCAAGTATGGTTACTACAAACTGAGCCAAATTATCATCGTCATAGCATTTAATATAATAAATATACACAATATTATAATTATAATAATAATAAACGATATCGATAATAATCTACCACAATATACCAGATAGTTCGCGATTGCAGACGAATAATAAACGAAACACGAACCGTTGGGAATCCTTTGTGGCACGTAGTGTTTATTTTCAACCCTTTCAGCTCCCATTAAACTGCGATTCTGATAATCGCTACCAAATGCATGCGCCGCCATTGGATTAGGCTCCATATGCATAGGCCCTAGTGAATATTGTCATTTTTAATGTAGGTACAAAAAGATGTATTTTTTTACTTTACTTAATAGTGATAAGGATTTTATTATGAACTAGCACTGCCGCGGCTCCACCCGCGTTCGGATTACCAAAAACTAAACTCTTAGGTTTTACAAATTAGTATACTCTTACATTGCAGTTTTTGAATATTTTCTCAGAAATGAGATATTTTCCTGCGGTAGAAAGTATCCTATATGTTGACCCGGATAACCAGCTATCACCATACCAAGTTTCATCAAAATCCCTCCAGTGATTTTTTTCTATGATGCGGTAACAGACAGATAGATAGACAAAAATTCTAAAAACTATAGATTCGGCCTCTGTATCGATAATAATGTTTATTTCAATAAGATTTTTCAAAAAATATTTTATGAACACATTCGGCTTCGTTACAATTTTATTATATGTATGTATAGATTACAGTATGTATAGATTACATTCAAAATAAGGGTCTTACTGTCAACCGAAACTACCTGCCACTAAAAGTTTCGTCTAAATCAACGGTAAATCTAGGAGAGAATTCCAGAGATAATCGGGAAAAACATACAGACAGATATTTTAGATATCATAAAAATAATCATAACATTAGCTCTATATAATTCAAAGTGTCGATAACATAGTAATATTATCTTCTATATTAAATTTATGCCACCACGAATTATACTACGTCGTCGAAGTAACAAGTAAAATTATTATAGAGCTCCATTTTCATTTATCATAGAGAATTTTCTTCTAGAACTTTTGAAGTAAAACATAGATTACGACTTGGGTATCACCCGGCTCATTTCTCTGTTATGAATTATACCGACATGAATCTACACAAAAATACAGTTGTCAAAATTATTCTGTTTTTCCCACTTCTGCTTATAATAAAATTCTGAGTCGAATCTGTACATTAAATATTTTTTTGGAAAATCTTATTAAAATAGTAATTATTATCGATACAGTGGGCGAATCTATAGTTTTTAGAATTTTTTGTCTGTCGTCTGTCTGTTTGTCAGGGAACGCATCAGGAGAAAACCACTGGACAGATTTGGATGAAATTTGGTATGATAATTAGTGGTTATCCAGGTAAACATATACACAGGATACTTTTTACTGCGGGAAAATATCTCATCTCTGAGAAATCTATACTAACCGTTAAAACCTACCTAGGGGGGAACCCAATCGAAGCGAGGGTGAATCCCTATATTTCATTATTAAGTAGGTCGATTTTATGATTTTTTTAATTCTATTTTTTTTAAATATAAAGGTTTGTTAGTTAATGTAAAAACAATATAAATAATATGTGATACTAACTAACTAGCTCACCTGCGAAGTATGAAGCATTATTATCAGAATATGATGTCAAATATCGAGGGTCGTACCCGGGTATAATATGTCCTGTTTGCATTACCTAAACACATTATTCTATTTAACACTCCTTTAATAGATAATTACGAAATGGTGATGCTTGATAATAAATTGTATAGAGTAAATATGATATATTAATAATTATTATTTTACACTTGCGGGAATCGAATCTGGGATCAACTGAGTAGTAGAAGAAAGAAAGATACGTCTATCTTTCTTCAGAGCAGATACTAAGAAAGACAAACTAATATCTTCATCCGATTGTCACTTGTTTATTTGACATTCGACTTATTGTATACCATTCAATGAGAATAATCGTATGAAGAATGTAAAAATAAATAATTATTATTATTAATGAAAAATAATTATTAAAGTATTTATTTGGTTTAGATATTTTGTTACCTCCTTACACCAAGACCTGAATCGTTATGAAAATTATTTAAACAGACACTACCTAATAAAATAAAACCTTTTGTTCTAGGTGCTAGGTGAACCGCTCATACCTAAGCAAACCATTCATAACTAAACGAAGAAATTTTGAGTTGGTAGACGGTAGTAATAAAATGTAGTTTAAAAAAATATTAAAATTTAGATAGGTAATTAGGTAGAAATAATACAAAAAAATATATCATACATTTGGCGAATAAGTTTGCATTTGTGGTGCACTATAATGCATCTCTGGTCCTTGCACTGAGCTGTTATAGGCATTGTAGTACATGTGTTCTGGACTGTAAGTTTTGCATACACTTTAAAAAATATAAATTATTTAAGCTTTAAATTTCTATTTCGCAAGTATAATTGTAAAATAAAAACGACTTTTAGAATGAAGAGCGATTAGGTTACCCGTTAACCGTTACGATTTTATTGAATGTAGGTAACTATTATCGATAATATATCTTTAACAATTTAAACTATCCTATATTATAGTAGAGATACACAGTGTAGCTAAAACGAAGAATTCAATCGAAAAATATCCACATGCTAAATATGGAATACATACCTGTACCTATTTACAGCCATGGTCCATAGTGTAGGTATATAGTTTTTAATTTTTTTTAAATAATACAATTTAAAAAGAGTTATAACAGTATACCACAGTTTCATATTTTTAATAATATTAATCTTTTATCTATCATAGTTAAATAATCAATAATAGAAGTAGGTATGTTAAAAAGAAAGCCACGTCTTAGAAATACATAATAATATACCTACCTATTGTTAAAATTTTAAGCCTACAAAAACTTACTAGAAAAAGGTCTACGCAATCTTTCTGCTACTTACTTAATAATATTGTTATTTCCAGTACTAGTAGTTGCAAACGCTATCATTTGATTTCCCTCAGGATATTCTGAAAAACGTAGATTTTGCAATATAAATATTTTCTAGATCTTTGTTCATCATTTCTCAGTCTCAATTATTTTATCAAGTACAAGAAGTTTTTACCTGCTGCAATTCTTCGTTCTCTTGTTATATATCGGTCCATTTTAAATGTTAATTCAATATCAACTCAATATAACTGAAATAATATTTCAGCTTAAACTAAACTAACAAAAAAATTAGCTTTTATTTTCTTCTCATTTATCTATACTTATAATATAATAGGAAATAATAGTTATTGGATAGCAGTTGAAAATGAAAATTATGAAATTTGGCGCCAATTGTAAATGGATTGTAATTTGTGAAATTATGACGTCAAAAATATAGACTTAGGATCACAAATATTATTCCATTTCATTTTTATTTTTATTATAAGAAATATGTAAGTATATATACAATTTAATACTGATTAAGTCATTCTAAAATGAATTTTAAGTATTGCTATATATTTAGAAATTGTTTTTTATAGTCTTTGAAGATAAGGCTATATTATATTCTAGTCTGAATATTCGACAATATTTTATAGACTTTGACGTTGATAATTGACAGCTTAGAAGTGACAGTGACATTCCAACTTTTCAATGTTAGTCATAGAATCCCAACTTATTTTGTATAAAATTAAATTTAAATTATTTTAGACTACATTTATTTGATTAAGACGGTCAAATTATAGATTATCATTTGCATCAACTCACAGATACTTTAAATAGGCATTGTAAACAGGAAAAAATGGAACTACAGGATACTTATTATAACAAATCAGAATATGTTGAAACTGTAAGTTGGTTTTGTAAAGTACTTAGGTAATTTAAATTTTAAACATTAAGTTGAGGAGTAAACTTCATTTTCTTCCATATATATTTTTAATATTTAACTACAATTTCAAAACTGTATATTAAGATATAACTGTATATTAATACTTAATTATTGTATAAACACTTATTTATATATATTTTATATATAGATAGCAATAGTAATATTTAAAAAATATTATTTTACAGGCTTCTGGAAATAAAGTCAGCAGACAAACTGTACTTTGTGGATCTCAAAACATAGTATTACATGGTAAAGTTATAGTTCAAAGTGATGCAATTATTAGAGGTGATCTAGCAAGTGTAAAGACTGGTAGATTCTGTATCATTAGTAAGGGCTCTGTTATCAGACCACCTTTTAAAAAGTTTAGCAAAGGGTAAATATTTATTTTATAAAAATGATTTTGAATATATTTTTAATACCTATTATAAACAATTTAGATTAAAAAATACCTAATATAAAGTACTTAATTTAATAAATCTCATTATCATACTATGAAAAGTCATCAAACAGCCATATATACCAATGATGAATGAAAAGATTTACAATGTATATTTTCTTCCTTAAGTTTTTGAATATCTTTTTGTTACTTTCTAGGGTAGCATTTTTTCCACTACAAATGGGTGATCATGTGTATGTTGGCGAAAATACAGTTGTAAATGCTGCTGTTGTTGGTTCATATGTTTATATTGGTAAAAATGTTGTAATAGTAAGTATTCTGTATTACAGGTATTTGTATTATGCCTTTCTTCAGACCTAAAAGACATTAATATTTAGATAAGTTTTTTAAAAGCAATAATTATTTTAATTAAATTGTTATTAAACATAAAATTACATGGAAGCAAAGTATACAAATACATTTCTTTTATCTTTTAGGGTAGAAGATGTGTATTAAAAGACTGCTGTATGATAGAAGATAACTCAGTACTACCCGCAGAGACAGTGGTGCCTTCATTTGCAAGATACTCGGGCAATCCAGCAAGATTAATCACAACTCTACCAGAAGCAACTCCAGACTTAATGACAGAGTTTACTAAAAGTTACTATCAACACTTCTTACCTACAACTGTAAATTAGTTCTTCAAAAATAATTTAACGGATAACTTATGCTTTTTACACTGGTGACATCTCTATTTATTTTTTCTACCACAAAATAGTCTTATTCAAAAAATGATTTAAATATAATGTTTATAACACAATGAAGAAGCAAAATTACCTTAGTTACTTAACTTTAATTAACATACCATAATTAAATATGTCCATGACTTTACAAAATACTAATAATATTATCATTTATCAGAGGAACCTCACCCCTTACTTATGTATGTAAATGAAAATTACTCTGAAACTCCAGCCAATAACATTTAAACTATTTCTGCAAAAAATTGCATTCACAGTATGTTTTTTTACATTTATATTAAGTAAGCATGCTTTTTGTATTAAAATACCTAGCCCAAATATATTATATAAATTGTAATTTCTCCCATTGTAACAAAAGGATTTAAAAAATTAAGAAAGAATGTACTTTTGAAGTACTATTCTGTACATGTTGGATCAACAAATACTTTTTTAGTTTTATTTATATAACTTATATAGATTTTTAAGCTAAAATAATAATAGTCATTCATTAATTTATATACAGCTTTGTTTAAAAAATATATAGCGCATTTTTATTTAAAGCATGGAATTGCATGTCTTATTATTCAAAAATTCATTTGTTCCCTTTGTGTATGCAAGACTTTAAATGTTGATATAAGTTTAGAAAAATATAAAATATATTACATTATACTAAAAAGTAGTGCATTGAAAAATGAAATAGACTTCATAGACGATTTCCAAGCTTATAAGTTATAACTGAACAATCCTAGACTACCTACTTTTATCAGGGTGAGACAGACACAGACGCAATGATTACAACATCTACATATTACGTAATTATTTCGATTTTCCATATTTATTTTTAAATAAACTAGCTTTCCCAACATTAAAAATAGATTAAAGAGTTTTGGAGCTATATATTGTCCTACTGATGGCCTCATAAATAATTTCCACCTCCTCATGTCTTATCTTTGAGTTATTCAGAGTAAAGGAACGTTACCCGACGACGTGCACACGATAGTCACCATGAGATTGATGCAAAAATTATGTTGATGATTACTTAAAATAGACTAAATTTTTAACCGACTGCGGCGAAGCCCAAAGGAGGGTTATGTGTTTGACCTGTATGTATGTCCGGTCTTATGTTCCCTCGTAATTTCCAAACGGCTTAACCCAGTTTGATGATACATACGTCATTATATGTGCGAGTTTTATATTTCCAGGCGCCAATTTTTGTCTTTAATATTTATAAAAAAACTTCGAAATCGTTCGGGTGGGTATCAAAATGAAGATTTTTAGAAGGCGATCACAAGAAAATATCCAACTTATAAATTATAAAAATAATAAAAACTCGATTGCGATAAAACTTATTTTTATCTTTTCAGTTAGTGTTTTTACGTAGACGGGCCCTTTTTTATATTTTTTTACGTAGAGATACGATGTAGGTAGTAGGTACACAGTAGTTATTCTAAATCTATACATATAATAAAAGTGTAAGTTGTAACTGATCGCTGTCCTTACATGGAAGATATTTGAGAAAAACTATTTTTAAAACAGTGATTTTTATAATTTTTTGGTCTGTTTGTCTGTACTTTTGTGTGCCGTTTTCACTAATGTACCTATTGTGGTAAGCTTTATTTATCAGTTAGTATTTTATTTCAATCGATTCATAAATAAAAAAGTTATGTCACTGTCCACTTGATTTGGCAGCAACTTTGACTAACTATACTAACTATACTATAGTTTTAAAACGATGATGATTGAAAGTTTATATGAACACAGCATCAGCATCTAATGTAAGCTGAGCTCACATCTATCTATAATCTGTATGGTCGAGCATATTAAATACCGTTCAGCTTAGACTGGTAACAGCTACACTCGGTTACTTTAATTTTAAAAAAATAATTAGGGTTCACAAAGCAGTTAAAACCAATGAAATTATAAACAAAATCCGCATAATATCTAGGAACATAACCGGGCAATGCGAGGGTAAGTCGCTAGTAAATTATATATTTGTCATTATCTGTGGTATAAATAAAATGTTGAATGTACTCTGTATCCTGTCCTCAATATGATCTGTCAAGCAAACAAGTAGAAATTTCATAAGATTGCCCTTTCCCGATTTTATAGTTTATTTTCCTTGTTATGATAAGAGTACCACGCAATCATCTTATTTAATCTAATGGTTCCTATATTTTAAACCCACCCCAATATGGAATTCCACTATTCCGAAGTCTGTATGCCGTCAGATCAATTAATGAATGGTGAGTTGTAGTGTTGTAAAAAATATTGAAAAATTGATCCATTAATTATATGATCTATTTATGATTTGACTAAAACGTATATATAACAGGAATAATGTTCTAAATAAATGCTGTTGTTATTTCATTAAAAAATATTACCAGATAACTAGGAGGGTTATTCAATGAAAACAACTACACAATGTACATAAATAATATACTTACGTGGATTTTTAAGAATACTACATTAAAGATTGAAGTGCTAGTGAAAATGTTCAAAGAAGGATAAATTTCATTTAAAGTTTAAGTGATAATATAATATGTAATTACTTAAATTTGTTATTATTATTGAATGTTCTATTTATTTATGAAAAAACTTGTATAAATTTTAGTCAATAAAAATAAAGACAGGCTTTAATCCTTCACAAGGTATTTATAAAAACCTGTTTATTTTATTATGAATTAATTTTCAGACCAATATCACCCTGAATATTCACAACCATATATATTAAGAAATGAAGAGGCTGAATATGAAATCCGTAGCACTGTGCTTGTTGATGGGGGAGATCATTATGGAGTTTCCTCCGTAGTTTTTGATAAATTTGAAGAATTAGTATGGATGGGGAATCAAGGGGTAAGATGTAATTTTAATCAAAGTAAATTCCTCTTGACTTTCCAAATATATACAATTGCTATGATTTAAAATGTTTCTTTACTACCTTAAGCAAGTCATTATTTTATTGTATATGCGTGTATGCATGTATTCTTATATTATAAACAAAAATATAATTGTTATAAGAGCAATTGCAATTTTTTCTTAGAAGTGCTGTTGATAATTTCCTCATGGACTTAAAAAGCTGACTATTAATTTAAAAGAAAACTTTTATAATTCAAAAGTGCTTGTAATAGTATGTTTTAATAAAATATCTTTTGATTTGAATTTTTAAGGGTCATGTAACATCATACTATGGACCAACCATGCAGAAATATACATCATTCCAAATCCATGCAAATGAAGAAGTAAGAGACATTTTGACAGTGGATGCTGGTATCTACTGCCTTACTAAATCTACATTACGTCATCAAATAAGAAGGGGTATACCAAGACACACACATAAGTAAGTCTTATAATTTATTTATTTTTTTAATTTGTGTAATTTTATATGAACATATTGTAAAAAATATTGTATATTTTCAACCAACTTCAAAAAGGAGGAGGTTCTCAATTCGCCTGTATTTTTTAAATAGTGTGTACATGTTGATTTATATATGTTACTAGAGCCTCACCCTCGCTTTGCTTGGCTTCATCCCTAGGTATGTTTTAACGGTTAGTATGGAATAGATGGACTATATTATATTACTGCTCTGCTCTCTTGGGTACTAGTATGATGATGCATAGCATATAGCCTTCCTTAATAAACGGTCTATCAAATGCAGGAAGAATTTTTCAAAACGGATTAGTAGTTCCTGAGATTAGCACATTCAAACAAATAAACAAACAAACTGCCTCTTTATAATATTAGTAAAGATTAAAGAGGCAAAGGAAATTGTTGTATTAAATGAATAAGTGACATACTTTTATATATTTTCTTTTCATTTTTCTGTAATAATGTTATACAAATAAAAAAGCATAAAACAAAAAATATATATATATATATATATATATATATATATATATATATATATATATACACATATTTTTTGTTTTATGCTATATATATATATATATATATATATATATATATATATATATATATATGTATAATTGCTTGTATATTTATAATCCTCTTTCATCATCAGGATTAGTATAAAACAAAGTAAATTGGTTTGATCATGATGTGTACCAACACACAATAACCATATTGCTATAAATCTGCACTAAAGTATTAAATAAAATAAAAAATTGTAAATTTCTTCCACAGATCAGCTAATATGACAGACATGCAGTGCCTATTTCAAGTAAATTCACATAAATTTTTGATGGGAGGGCATCAGGACAAACTTTTAGAATTAGATCTTAACAAAATGGCAGAAACTGTAATTGTGAGTTTTGAATAATATAGTTTTAATTATTTTTTTGTTATTTATATTTATTACTAGAATTTGTAAATATATTTGTAAGTGTACATTTTTAGTATTACTTATTCTAACAATATTAAGGAAATGTTTATATTGTTTACCTTATAATTTGATAGAAGGTATTACATTTGATTTTCATGAAGTGTAAATTGTTGCTAAAGTACTTGTTTTGTTTTCCTCCTTATATTCAATATATTGTAATTGACTGAATAAAATATTATACAAATTGGAACTACCATTATTTGTTTCAAAGAAACTACAGTACAACTTTGATATCTAAGAAAGCACAGAAAAATATAAATTAACAATATATGAATAATAATTACTAATTACCAATTGTGAATCCTCCATCTGTGAATTACAATAATAATATATAGCCTATGGACTCTCACATGAATCCTCTAATTGCCATTGAAATCAGGTTAAAATCGGTTGCTTGGTCTATATCTTTTGTCTATTCCACAAAAAACCTATTTTGCCTTAAAATAGTAATTATATATCAATCTCACTCCTATATTATTATCCATAGTGAAAGTTATATTAAAATTAGTTAATCTTTATATTGTTAAAACAAAATTCAAGAAGTAGTGATACACTCTCATTATTAATAAATATAAATGAGGTAATTTTTAAATGAAGCTTATGTTGATAGCAGTATTTGTGTGTTATTCAAGATATTAAATGCATCTTTATAGTGATTATGTTTACTTTCTGGATCTATATTATTATATTCCAATTTGTTATATTTACACTAAACGGCAGTGGTAGTGATAATACGCTCGCTTAGGAAACTGAGTGTAACGGGTTCAAATCCCGGGTCTCGTACCTCCGATATTTTCATGTGCGAATCATTTCCAACATGATTACTACTGTACTACTATGTCTTACGGTGAAGGTAAACATCGTGAGGAAACCTGCATGTCTGAGAGAACCTAGAAAGTTTTCGAAAGACATGTGAAGTCCACTAACCCCTACTTGACCAGTATAGTGGACTATGGCCTGATCCCGTCATATTAAAGGGAGGCGACTGCTCTGCAGTGGGACGTTAAAGATGGCAGAATACATTAACTATTCAAATTTTTGTAATTCCAGAAAGTTCCAGAAGATGGTTGCGCGGTACTCCGTAGTGGGGGTGGTTCGTTGGTAGCTTGTGGCAGTGCAAATGGGATGGTCGCATTGAGAGATATAAGGAGCCCTGGAAAAGCAGAGCATACGTTTAGAGCACATACTGCATGTTTATCCGATCTGGATATGCAGGGCGATCAGCTGATTACATGTGGATTTACACAATCGTGAGTGTTCTTGATTTTTTATTCTATATGGTTTTTTACATGATTATTTTTTGTATGTACAGTGTTTTATTAGGAGGCCATAAATAATGAAAAATATTTATATGCTTTTCGCGAAATAATATGCTAGTATTGTAAAACAGATCATATAATTTTTTACTTTTACTTTTTTCATATAATTGTTACTTTTACTTTTATTTATATATATATATATATATATATATATATATATATATATATATATATATATGTATACCTAATATATAACTTCTCTATTCCATACTAATCGTTAAAACGTACGTGGGGGACAAACCCGAGCGAAGTGAGGTTGAGTCGGTATTACTAAAAATTATGAACTAATCTGTATTAATATTATAAATGTGAAAGTTTGTGAGTATGGATGTTTGTTACTCTTTCACGCCAGAACGGCTGAACGAATCTAGATGAAACTTTGCACAGAGATAGATTACTTTTTACTCCGGAAAAATGTACAGTTTCCGTGGGATAGATTTGTTTTTGTTTTCCCAGAGGGGAACCCGAGCGAAGCGAAGGTGAGCTGCTAGTTATACATAAATGTTTTTCATATAAACAACTTAACAATACACATGATGTACCACCCCAACAGCGGCACAGTCCCGGTACCAGAGAACTACATATTAGTGTGGGACGTGCGCCGCATGGCGGGCACGCCGTGGTCGCTGCCCGCCGCGTCGCCGCTGCTGCTGCACTTCCTGCCCGCGGTGTCGGGGCGCGCCGTGGCCGTGGCCGGCGACGGCCGCGTCACGCTGCTGCGCGTCAACGAGACGCACGCGGCCGAGTGTCAGAGCGTGTTTCAGGTGAGTGGCTATGTTTTTTATTTATTATTTTTTTATTTTAGTACTAGCGACTACTCGTCCCGGGTTTGATTCTCAATACAAACTTTCATCCCCATTTTCACCCCCTTAAAGGATGATTTCCGAGATAAAAAATATCTATGTCCTTCCCAGGGTCTCAAACTAATCTTCTAACCAAATTTCATCTAAATCGGTTCAGTAGATCTAGAGATTACCCCCTACAACGTCACAAACTCACAACGTCTTTATAATATTAGTATATATTATGTACCAGTACCCAGAGAACCGTGGAATAGCGTGAGGTAAGATTGACTGCGAGACAGAGAATGAAAGAGAGAGAGAGAGAGACAAACAGAAAATAAAAGAAGAGAGACAAGCAGAGAGTGAGAAGGAGACGAAGAGTGTGAGAGTGAGTCAGGGACAGAGAGAGAGATTATGGACTATTGTGAGACATTCGCTTGCAGACGCATGTAGGACAAGGCATCCCTGTCACTATCACTGTGTTACCACCCCTGCTTCTGCACTTTTCTCCCGTTTTTAAGGAAATTTCTAAAGCTTCCAAGGACTGGAAACAAGATGGAGGGCAATCCTAACAATATGAAACAGGTCTGTCCCCCCCCCCCCCCCTTCTGAGGTCCTGTTTCATACTGTCAGCATTTTTTAAGCAGTTTTGGTTCCATATCATTTTTTTTACTAAAAAAAATGTGATGGATAAAATTCTATTATCAAAATAGTTTTAAACTTATCTGATGCCTTACATGATTTTCTGGGTAAGTAATAAAATTATTTTTATATAGGTCATTAAAAATATTTTGTTTATTTTTATTAGAAAATAATATATAATATTATTCATAGGTGGACACACATAGTGCACAATGCAGTGTAATGGATGTATCGTCAACGAGCCAAGCTTTAGTGTTTGGGGACCAGTCGGGTCATCTTCATCTCTTCTCAGCACAGCATAATCATGAGCCTGTGTTTAATAATTTTTCAAGGTATTTAAAAAAAAAATGTACAATGCACTCTATGGTTATTATTATATTTAGTTATAAGAATAGAATAGAATGACATTATATGTGCACATGTTTGCATATTTTTGTCACATAAAGTACCATCAATGTAAAAATTAAAATAGATGGCGCACAAGTCACAGTGATTATTTTAGATTTACTAACTATTACCTGGCTTGAAACCAAGAAAAGTTCGTATATAATTAAATATTTTATTTTACTTTTAAAGTAATTATTCCACTCACAGGATTTTTTTAAAGCTTACACGAATCCATCTTTGAAGTAATAATACAGTACAACCTCGATATAACAAATCTAACTGATCGAAATATAAGCTCACTTGCAAGTGAGCTTATATTTACCGAGACGGACCGGACCTCCTACACCAGACCGGACTTCTTACACCAACCCGATATCAAGTAGTATTGTTGATCGAAGATTAGTATTATGAACTCTAATGAATGTCTCCAGAGTGACGGAATTCGCCGATCCCCCACCAAGTCTGCCGTATGCGAGTTTCAACGACACTACCTTTTCCTTCTCTACCATCCCATTGCCGCCGCTACAGAGCGACAAGTGGTTCAACGAACTGCCTGCTGAGTTCTTTAAGAAGGTTTACAGGTGTGTTTTAGTTGTTATGTAATAGAATAATGGATTCAGTGTATAGGTTATATAATGTCCTCGTGACCGATTTTGGTTAAAGTGCCCAATTTCACTGAGACTGCAAGCAAGAGCACGAATTTGTTTATCGATGGGAAATACAATCTTGGCTATTTAATCTAATTTACGCAAAAAATGTTCATAAATTATTTTTGAAACATGTAGTTTCATAATATGTTTCAGAAAACCGAGGCCAATCGATCCTGAAGTACTAAAAACAATGAAGATGCAAGGTCCCATCGGATACGCTCCCAATCCTAGAACACATTTACGTAACCAGGTATTATAAAGATATATTTTATTGTACTTAAAATTAAAAGTATGTACATTAGAAGTCAATAGCAAAAGGATTTTTTCAAAACTAAATCTTAATTCATAGGCTTAGATGAAATAAAATATGTGAATAATCCCTGCGAAGATAACAAGTTTTTTTTATTATTTCATACTTCATACAGTGAAATTTTAATTTAATTAGTATATGATTGATTGATACTGATAATAGACATATTGACAAATATATATTGAATACTAGCGACTCGCCCTCGCTTCGCTCGGTTTCGTCCCTAAGTTGCATCCCCATACAAATTTTCACCTCCCAAAGTGGAGGTGACTTTAAGGGATGATTTCCGGGATAAAAACTATCCTATGTCCTTCCTAGGGTCTCAAACTATGTTCTAACCAAATTTCATCTAAATCGGTTCAGTACTTTCGGAGCCTATTCAATACAAACAAACAAAATTTTCTCCTCTTTATAATATTAGAATAGATTTATATTCAGTATATGTGAATCAATATTATAATGTATATTTTCATTGTTAGAAACCGTATATCGATGACAATCTTGAAGATTTACTTGACGACAAGAAAAATGAATCTAAATCCAGTATGCAACCCATTCCAAAGGAATACTTGAAGGTATACGTTTTTCTTTTTTTTAAATTCATATATTTTTTTAAGCCTATTATAAAAATTGAGCATATGTTTGTAGCTGTTATAAGTAGCTCTCAAATGTATGAAACAATTTCTATGGATTTTTTTTTATTTTTATTTGAACTAGTGACTCACTCGCGATCCGCTCGGGTTCGTCCCTAGTGAAAATTGATGTTCGTATGTACTTTTTTATGCCGAATCATAAAAAATTAAAATAAAAATGTTTGTCCATAAAATAAAAAGGAAGTTTTTGGGGTGGATCACCTTTGTCACTTAGAGGTATGGAAAATAGTTTACGTCCTATTCTCAGACTTACTGAATATATACACAAAATTTCATAAGAATGGGTCAAGCCGTTTCAGAGGAGCTTTGTTACAAACACTGTGGCACGAGAATTTTATATCAATGCAAATAAATAAAATTGAAGTGTCTGTTTGTATTGTCAAAATATTAGGTATTTACTTAATGCATATGAAAGTATAAAAAAACTAGTTTTTAAAGTTGTTTATCTGTTTGTTCCGGCTAACCTCAGAAACGGATGGACAAATTTTGAAATTTCCCTGGCAAATAGCTGATGTTCTTAGGTTTAACTAAGGCTACTTTTATTTTAGCAAAAGAATTAGGGTTCCATGCAAAAAAAATTAAACCATTGAAATTGTGATCAAAATCATACATGTTACTAAAATTATTATGAAGATATTGTTATATTCTAATAAAATAGAATATACCTATAGGCTCATTGTTTAAACGATCAATATCATGTATGTTTTTTTTTTTCATTTAGACCGTAAAGTTATATCAAATATGCTCACGTCGTTTTTGAATTTATGTAGATTATTATTGTATGGGAAATATATATAGGAGATGACGAAATATTTTACAAATCAAAGTTATCTTAATTACTGACTTTCCATAAATATTTTTAAGATTGACCTCCGGTATAATAAGCATGGGCCCAATGAAGAAATAGAAGCGATGAACAAAACCGGTATGCCGGGACTTGAAGCCACTCTGCCCAACTCTTATTGCAATGCTATGTTACAGGTAATTATTTATACAATTTTAAAACTAACATGTTGAATAATTATAAACAAATAAAAGTAAAAAATTATTAACTACTAGCAACTTACCCTCGCTTTATTTAGGCTTGTCCCTAGTGAAAATCAAAAACAATTTATCCCACGGGAACTGTACATTTTTCCGGGATATAAAGTTACCTATAATATGCTACTCCAGACAATAATCTATCTCTGTGCCAAATTTAATGAAGATCCGTTCAGCCGTTCTGGCTTGATTGAGTAACAATTTATATTTTTGGGAAGCGCTAAGTCATGATAATTGTTACAGGTTTTATTTTTTCCTCTTGCAGGTTCTATATCACATTCCACCTCTTAAAACCACCTTGTTGGCACACACTTGTGCTAAGGAGTTTTGTCTTAGCTGTGAGCTCGGTAAGTATTTAACACTTTATACTATTTATTGTCTGTAGACTTATTAATAAAATGATAATGAAAGCGATATAGACTTGTGAGCACGCGCAGCTCAATTGCTAGCGGTACGCAAACTGAATTGATTTTTATGAATTAAAATAATAATGAATTACGCGTGTTGGGTAAAATGCTGAACTGTAATACGAGTATGTTACGGTTGCATCGTACATCTATATAGATTAATATAATGGAAGTGTCTGTTTGTAATGTCAAAATAACAGCTTTTTACTAAATGCATATGAAATTATATACGGTACTTATAAGAAAAACATTTATTTTTTATTTTTATCTGTCTCTCTGTCTGCTCCGGATAAGCTGAAATGGCTGGACTGATTTTGACGGGACTTTCACTAGAACATAGCTTATGTTATAGAGAGTAACATAGGCTACTTTTATTTTAAAGAAAGAATTATGGTTCCGCTCAAAAAAATTAAAACGTACCTAGGGACGATGAGTCGCCAGTATAGATTAAAACCCAAATATAACACATTCCAGGTTTCCTATTCCGCATGCTGGACACGTCCCGCGGCGCGCCGTGCCAGGCCGGCAACTTCCTGCGCGCCTTCCGCACCGTGCCCGAGGCCGCCGCGCTCGGCCTGCTGCTGCCCGAGCGCGACGCGCGCGCCGACCTCGCCGCGCTCGCGCAGGTCACTACACATACTCACACACATACATCCGTAGGAATAATACAGAGTGTCAAGGAATATAGAGCTAAACGATAAAGTTTTGAAATAGCGGATTTTATTATAATAAAAAATAAAAACGTACAGTATATATATGTATGTACATGATCTTATAGAAATATTGACATTAGTAGCAAAATCAGTAAATCACTACTATTTTTGACTTTAACATATATTTTCGCAGATTATATATTTTTTTAGTCTGAGTTATAAATAAAATAAAAATTATATAATACAAACAAAAATAAATCTGTCCCAAGGGAACCGTATATTTTTTCGGCATTAAAAGTAGCCTATGAGTTATACTCTCGATCGTACGAGCTATATTATTGTGAAGTTTCATTAAAATCCATTCAGTAGTTTTTGCGTGAGAGAGTAACAAACACCCATATCTATACATCCAGCCATCCATACATCCTCACTAACTTTCACATTTATAATATTAGTAGCATGATATTTTAACAAATAGTTCGATTTAATAATATCTGTCAAACTTAACATTTGCTGCAGACATACGCAGACCACAATTAAAATACGAAATTACTCGTTACAGATTGCAGTTATGATACTAATATCACAGTATAAATATCCTACAGCAAATTATCACCCATTAATTTCAACGAAAATCGCGACAGTTGTATAACAATAAGTATGTCAATCAGGTGCGTCCTCGCGTCTAACGATTCTTCTGTTTAGACGTCTTCGTTAAACGACTGTATGAAGTAGTAGACTAAGCTAATATAATGATAAATAAATAAATAATAAATATGATAAATATGTTGGGACATTAACACACACCACCATCTAGTTCCATGGTAAGCTACGAGGCCTGTGTTACGGATATCAGATAGTTGATACACTACATATATATAATTTTCAATACATACATATTATAAATGAGAATTGTGAAATGTACAAATGAGTGGGTGTGTTTGTGTTATATGATGTTACGACTCAACAGATTTCAGATTCGAATTGAAAATAACTTATAATGTGGATTAACAGATAGGCTATTTTTCATAAATGTGTAGACCACTAACACCATGCTAGCTGAGCCCCGTATATAAATGTATATAATGTATATAAAATAATATGACCATTCTAAAATATTTTGATGTATATTATATATATTTGTTTACAAGTGAAAAATAGAAAAGAGAGCATAATAAATTAAGAAATTCTTACTTTATTATATTGTTTCATATAATATTAATAAAACATATATTATTCTAGAGCTGGAACAGATTCATCCTCCACCAAATACATTCAGAAATACTCGAAACTAGGAAAAAAGAGAAGGAATTAACTTTTATAACTCAGAAAATAACCCCGCCCAGTCCGTTTGTGAATGTAAACAATAAGAACGGCCCGTACGAGGAGTATAGGTTTACGGAGCTGGAGTTCTTGGGGCCTCCCGAATATGATGAAGATGGAGAGGAACTGAGGAATAGCAAGGTTGAAGGTATTTGTTGTAAATTTTTATTTACTTAAATACACAGTTTAGTTGGTAATCTTACACGCTGATTATTTAGAAGTGTTTTAAATAACCAACTTAAATGAAATGTCCCTTAAAATTAGAAGATATATTTCACACCAACCTTCTAAAATAGTTCAGTAGTTTCTTACATATTTACAGCTTGAATTATAGATTAAACAAGCAAAAACATTATGAAATATATAAGGATTATATTTTAGCCATTTTTCAGCAAAAAAACTAAAAAGTACTTTAAACTGTGTTGAACTTTTACATACATAACATCGTCTTCATTACCTTTTATGACTAAAGGCTAAAGAATTAAAAAGTGGCAAAATCTTTGTACGCTCTTATAAAAAATAGCAAAAAATAAGGTTTTATATATTTCAGTGCCACCTAAAATGCAACCAGCAGAAACGAATCACGTACAAAACAACGAGAACCATGACACAACAAAAAAACATAAAGACGATAAGGAGGAGTCCGAGATATCTCAGCTGTTCGCGATCGGTCGGCAGCAAGTTAATAAATGCACTAAATGTAATAAGGAGGTAAGAAATAATTTATTATACTATTAATATTATAAACTAACGACTCACCCTCGCTTTGCTCAGGTTCGGACCTAGGTCCTTTTACGCTTAGTATGGAATAGATTTTTTTTCGTGAATTTTTCCAATGTTTTAATAGTTATTCTGCTATTCGAGGTGAAGACATATCTAACAAAACAAAGATCATAAAAATTGGTCCAGTAGTTATCCAGTCATAAGTGTTGTAACAAGCCTGACTTTGTTTTATATATATATATATATATATATATATATATATATATATATATATATATATATATATATATATATATATATAAGAATGATATTGACTGGGCTAGTGTTTAGATTAGGCTTACCTTTTTGGGATAGAACATGGAACGTGTGTGAGGTTAATTAGGTTTTATTTTGGATTCATATATTAAACAATAAAATTACATAATAATATATATAATGTATTTTGCTATAATTTTACATACATTTAATTTTTTAAATGTATAAATGTTCTTTTGGAAATATATATAATAATAGCTTTATTTCTTTCTGTATTAAGACGTATATAAAGATAGTATATTTTTGAAACGGCTTACCTCTGCTAAAATTTGACCCTTCGCCACAGTATGCATATACATACATACTTACATTGAAATCGTATATATTGACAGGAAGAGCGTGAAAGCGCAGTGCTGGCGTGCGCGCTGGCGGAGTGGCGGGAGGGGTTCGCGGAGGCGCTGCGCCTGGCGCTGGCGGCGCGCCGCGCCACGCCCGCCTGGTGCGAGCACTGCGCGCGCTTCACGCACACGCTGCAGCGCGGCCGCGTGCTCAGGTGGGCGCTCTGTTACACTCGCGGGGTACTCTATATTATACTTACAGGTTACTCTGTATTAGACAAGCAGGTTACTCTATGTTACACTTACAGGATACTTTATATTACACTTGTGTACATTTTATAGTATACCGAGTGCTCACAAAGTTATTATGGCGTGAATTGGAAATAGCCTCAACCTTCTTTACAGACACACACTTTAAGTAAAAGTACTTGGGCGACCGAGCTTCGCTCGGCGTAGGCGCTCGTTCAGTTATAAAATAATGTTTTTTTTTTAATGTGGAAAACTGTGTTTTTTCAGACAAGACACCTATATGGATAAACTTCAAAAGCAAAATCTTATCTAAATACAAAATTTGATCCAAATTTTAGAGCCGTTTCCGAGATACACGAAATAAATTTATATATAAGTAAATATACAAGAATTGCTCATTGAACATTATAAGATGTTGGTTGACATTTAATATTAATGCTTCTCATACAATTTTGTAAATCTCACCTACAATATAACCAAACTTAATTAAACTATATTAATAATTATTTGTTTGTAATATTATTTGCAATATTTCAGATTACCTCCAATACTGGCAATTAATTGCGGTACAACAGCTCACGAAAAGGCGCATTGGACAAAAGGTGTTCAAAAAGATATGGTAAACTTATTTAATTAAAATGTATTTAATCTCCATCTTTAATTTAAACTAAAATGTAATATTATTATTTTGAAAACAATATTGTTATTATGAACATTCTACGTTTTTTATATTTTATTCTATAGCTTTAGTTTGAAACTAGCAACTTACACTCGCTTTGCTCGGATACATCCCTAGGTAGACAGTTTTTCTTCACAATTTCATGGGGTTTAATTTATTGCGCGTAATCCTTACTCTATTGCTAATATAAAAGTAGCCTAAGTTACTTCTTATAACATCAGTTATCTGCCAGTGAAAGTCCCGTCAGAATCAGTCCAGCCGTTACGGAGATTAGCCGGAACAAACAGACAGACAAAAATTAAAAAGATATTTTTTTCTTTAAGGTACTGTATATACTTTCATTTTTATATACACTTAGTAATTTAATGTTATTTTCACGTTACACTTCAATTTTATTTATTTATATTTTGTGTCTATATCGACATTGTCTAATATTATTTTTTCCAGCCAGAAACATCAAAAAGAGGTGGTAGTGGCAAGCCGTGCAGGTACGGGCTGCACTGCGCTCGGCCCGGCTGCCGGTTTAAACATCCTGAAAGGTATTTCTACACTTTTATCACAGTATATCTTCTTTTTCTGTACTCCTTAAAATCTTCTCACTCGCACTCTTTCCTTCTCTTTCTTTCTCTATACCCAAAGGTTTCGACCTGGTAGATATCGCTCTCTAACAATAAGGCCGCCTCTTGTACTATTATTACTTTAATTTGTTTTATTATGAATCCCCTCAGACTAAAGAATTATATAGATGAAGCCCGCCAAAATTAAAGTCAAATTGAAAAATAGTACCGTGATTTGCTGTTTATGCTATTATTTAAGATTTTGCCATACATACTTACGTTTACTTTTTAAAGAATAATACAATATTTTTTTGTATTTTTTAAGCATTACTTCTCTTCCCCTTGAAACAGATCTGACATAATATTAGTATTTTTGCTTTTTTTTCTTTATTATAATAAAATACAACCATGAGCTGGGAAAAAGAATATATCCGATAATAATAATGCCCTCTTGACCGATATCGGACGACGTCGTTTCAGAGCCTAATAATAATATATGCATGATATATTTTATGTAATATATAATTAGTAAGAAGCCAGAAAAAAAAACTTTGATTACTTAAATATTGCAAATATAGCGAAAATGTGCTCTTTCATTCGTAGTTTGGGTTATATGTGCAAATGCATATGGTATATATATATATATATATATATATATATATATATATAATTATTCTAATAATATTCAAATTAAATTTTCCACAGGCCAATGTCATCTCCTCAGTCGAATTCCGTGAAGAATTCTCCACAAGAGAACAATTATGTTCTGCCACATCAGTTGAGTATACGGCTGCAAACCGACGGCGAGGTTATTATTAATGAAAAGGTAGGTTTTTTTAAATTAAACTATATTTGTACCTTATTTAGCCTAAGTTGAGCATGGTATTGTATTAAAAACATTTTTATAGTTATTTTTTGTTTTTTTTTTGTCAAACATTGTCACGAACTAGTTATAGTTATTAGAAATGATGTCAGCTTACGAAGATTATTACAATAATTTGAAAGAAAAAAGGGAAATTTGTTAGTGGTGCTATAGTTTTATAATTTTAAATTATTTCATTTGGATTGCTATTATTATGATCTGTTTATATTTAAAATAAATAAAAGTTATGTAAAGCATACGAAATGTCGGAAAGAAAAAGAAAAAAAAAGAAAAATTGCGAAAATATAGTTTATCAAAATTATACTAGAACAAAAGCACTTCACCTTATCAAATAATAAACAGAAAAAACTCCATTCAAACAATAGCAACATTCCAGACTGATCAACCGGAACTGAGAGACAAGCAGAAGAAGAAAAAAGAAGTGACCAAGAGCGAAGAAGAATACACGTTGACCTCCGTAGTGCTGTGCGTGGAGGACAACCCGCGCAACCTGGTGGCGTACGTGCGCGTGCCCGGCGCGGACGGCGCCCGCTGGTTCCTGTTCAACGATCTGTGGTGAGTGTTAGGGCCTCTACACGAGGGATTGACGGTATTATATCATATTAGACGATGACTTACCGTGCGTGAATGACTTGTGGTGAGTGTTAGGGCTTATACACACGATGGCTTGAGAGTATTAAGATCTGTACAAGTGACGACGAAATGCGCTGGAACGGCTTGTGGTTAGTGTTAGGGTCTGTATACACGGTGACTTAACTCGCTGGAACGACTTTTAGTAAGTGTCGGAATCTATAGGCAGAATAAAATTTTAGTATGCTGAAACAATTTGTGGTATATTTGCAACTACACCTATCATTGCACACGACTAGTTTTTATCGCGCTATCGAAGCGTGTTAGTATCGATACACAAGCATTTTGCAATTTTTATTAATTTTATGTTTATACTAGCGGCTCACCCCCGCTCGGGTTCGCCAAACAAAAAGCAAAAACAAATCTATCCCTCGGGAACCGTATATTCGCTCGTAATAAAAAGATTATAGTCTGGAATAGCCTATGTGTTATTCCAGATTATAATCTATCTCTGTGCCAAATTTCATCCAGATCCGTTCAGCCGTTCTGGCGAGAAAGAGTAATAAACATCCATTCATACTCAGAAATTTTCACATTTATAATATGAAAAATAATACGGATTAAATATTTTATATTAAATATCTTAATATGTTTTAACGAATATACGCGGACGACAGCATTTACAATACGCGTCGATGACGCGTTTATAAAACATGGTGTAAATAGGTCCTTACTCTCTTAAAAAATAATTTTAATGTTCATTTCTCTTAGTGTTTTTGTCCATGATTTATTTTTATACTTCAAGACAAATTCTATTCTAATATCTCTGTAATTTTAGTCTATGTAACTTTGCAGGTGTTTTTTTTATTATTAACAATTTTTTATTCTCGGTTTTCTTTCTGTTCTATATTTTATTAATATAACTAGCGACTCACCCAGCTTCGCTCGGGCTCGCCCTTAGGTGATTCTTTAAATTGACGTAACTTTTTTATTTATGAACCGATTAAAATAAAACAAATACTAAATTTTAAGTGAAGATTACCCCAATATATTAGTGAAAACTGCATCCAAATCGGTTAAGCCGTTTTTGAGATTAGCGAGCACAAATGCACAAACAGACAAACAATCTAAAAATCATTGTTTTGGGTTCTATTGCATAAATAAAGACCTCCCAATGATAGGTTTTCTCAAATATCTTCCATGTACAGACAGCGATCGGTTACACTTTTATTATATGTATAGATAATTTCCTCACCATTAAGGATTGTAGAGTACCCACCACAATACATAGTACAGATACATATATAACGTAGTGTATGTGTGTGTGTCTGTATGGCAGCATAGCGCCGGTGAGCGCGGCGGAGGTGCAGTGCGGCGCGTGGTGGAAGAGCCCGTGCGTGGTGTTCTACGCCGCCTCCGCCTCGTAGCGCGCGCCTGTGGGCCGCGATGCGGGTACGTATCTATCTCCTTCTCTTTCTTTCTCCATATATTTATCTCTCTCTCTGCGTCTCTTTTAAATTAATACCCTTCCTAAATATGGTACACTGTATTATGTATACAATGTATTCACTAGCAAACTATTATATTTACAATGACAATGTGAAGTATTTTTTTATTATTGCTTTCGTATAAGCCTATATCAATATTTTTATTTCAATGCAATTTCTTCTGATTATAAAAAACACAACTGTTGAGTTCCTTGCCGGCTCTTCTCAGCAGAACTGCTTTTCGAGCCTGTGGTAGCTTCCTCACGGACTGACCACACTGACGCTTACATTAAATTGACGATACAAAAGTACTTGTAATAAGTCTAATTGAATAAAGTTTATTTCATTTCATTTCAATTATTGAAAAATGCAAAAATAGGTGGGAAATTCAAAGTTATAGTTGAAACGCAACGCCATTGATCAGATCGAATGTGACGTCAAAGTCTTTATTTTTTTTTTAACGTTGGGAAATGCATTTACGCACGACGTGTGGGACTCACCGGCGTAATACAGCCAGTACTACCCACTAAAACCCAACAAAACCTTCCCCCGTCTTAATGGGGCGTCGCAGGATCGCTTACGCATTCAACTACGACGCCCCGACGGCAGGTCTGCCGAAGCAAACCACAACGACCATGGGGTTGCTCCAAGGTCCACTCTGCTATCAGAGAAGTACCAGGAGCAACCCGCATGGTACACCGCCCCCCGAAGAGGGCCACCTCCCACCGCCCACCGAAGTGGGCAACCTCCCTGTGCGTGTCTTGGCTTCGCGCCCGGTTGGGTTGCCGGGCACTACTGAGCCCCCCCACCACGACAAGGTGAACGCACGTTGAGGGGGGACGTCAAAGTCTATAATAACAGAGCGTTGTTGTTTGGTGTTTGCGATTGTTACTAACAATATAGACCTGTTCAATTTTTGATTACGATGGTGTCGTAGACTTTAACGTCATGCCAAGCGCGTCAAAATAATGGGCGTTTAAATAATCTGTATGATATTTTAGTTATTTTTTTTTAATACTAAATTTCAGTTCTTTGGAGCTGTATATTTTTCTTTTTAATTATAGTAACAATGTAAGGAATTGTATAAAAAAACCTAAAAAACACCGCATGTTCCCTATTTCCGTACAGCAGTTTCTGAGATTAGCCCGGACAAACACAAACTCAACTTATAATATCTATTGTATATGTGATGTGTTGTAAATAATTTTCATATAATTCCAGGAATAGCGGCCCATATCGCGTGAACGGTACATACTACCAAGTACACGCCGAAAATCCCTATTTTCGATGATAAGTCTGACAGAAAACTATAGTACGAATGATGTTATGAATAAAGGTTAAAGAATTAGATTAGAATTACGATAGCGGAGTGGAGTTTCGCTTTCGATGGAATACAGTCCGAATGAGAATTTTATATGGAGATAGTGATGTGCTTTTATATTTATATAGATTTTATATATACAGGGGATTGGTTGGTGGCGAGGACGGGATTGCGGAGCTAAAGTAAATGGATGTGAGTTATTTAAATTGACTGACTTTAGAAAATGGTCGATATATTTAGAAAAGAGTACTCGATTTGTGTGTGTGTGTGTGTGTGACACATATACACAAAAACACACAGTGTGTTTTTTTGTGAATATGTTTGAAGGAAATTTTGGTTAGTTCTGAATTGATTTGGATGATTCTCTTTGTAACGAGTACCTTAAAGATGATTGCTGAAATTCATGAAAAGTGTTTTTTTTATTTATATAAAAATAATTTAAAAAAATACCTCACTCGAAGTTTTTTAAAGTGATTTTGAATACATTATTCATCATCATTTTTTGATTGTTTAATATAATATTTTAAAACACTTCAAAATTATATTTAACTAATTCGGTTGCTATGTTTGATATATTATGCGAGTAAATTATTGAATATCGATGTTTTCTAGTGAAATGGAAGTTTGAAATCGAAGCTATTTCATTTACTTTAGCACTGTTATCTTTATTTCGTATTGAAATAAATTTTATACACTAATGCAAAACTGGCCTAATGTTGACACACAAAGATACATATCGAGATAGCTTAAGCTGTGGCTGGAGTTGACGTGTCCTTGTAAGTTATACTTCTTTATTAAAGTCGGTGAACATTATATATTTTTTATATATTGTTTTGTGAATTAATTAAACGTTGTATAATTTATATAATATATATATATATATATATATATATATATATATATATATATCTATTATATGTATGTTGAATATATGATTATTGATATATATGTAATTATATTATGCTTATAAAAGTTTCGGTTCATAAAAAATACGATATTATATGTATAATTATTATATATCAATAAGAAACTATAAGGCTAGTTTCCAAGTGCTATTTCATCGAAAACCTGACTGACCCCTACCACCGAAAACTATGATTGGTTCTCATGCGATTTGAAATTACATCAAGAAACTTTCTTCAGAAAAATCGCCAATATTTATAAACAATTAAGTATCTCTATCTCAAAAATCTCAATCTCAATTTGAGATATCCGAAATCCGAAAAAGATCCCGAAAGAGTGGGAAATTTCCTAAAAAAAAAGACCTACCTTTCGGAACTCTACAGACAATATTTGTAATTTTAATGTAGTGGCGATATTCTAAGTAATTTGATGATTAAACAGAAAGTGCCATTTCTAATCGAATCAGACAATTTTTAATGGCAGGAGAAAGGTTTTCAATGAGCCATCTCACTTGTGAACTAGACTATATAGGGTTATTCAATATATTATTCATAAATGTCCATCGATCAAAAAAGACACAACAACAACAATCCCACAATACATCCCATCCCACCACATCCCATCCCACAATACACATTCCCATGCAAAAGTTCTTTTAAAACTGTCACCAATTATGTTTAGGTAATTATTCTAATTGAAACAAATACACAACAATGTAAATTGGACCTTAAATGCAATACTTAAAGTTGTTTTCATAAAAAAAAATTAAAAGCGTGCTCAAATATTCAAATGAGCGTTCATTCGGTGAGGACATTTTTTGTCGATATTCAGCGACTAGATCTAGTACTTTTCTGATCGATGTAAATGTTGATAAAATAGGTATCAATAAAAAATTCAAGCTATTTATAATTTAATGATAAATATTAATAAAGAAGTATAATATAAAATGAAAATGAATCAATTTTGTAAAATATTTTTAAAATAAAAAGAAATGTCACAAAATTAAAAAAAATATATACGCACTAGTTTATATCGCACTTAGACTCCACTCCATTCTGTCGTATCTGAGGTTGAAAAGTTCATAGTTTACATGCCGAAGTTTTATTTGAAGCAATGTGCCTCGGTATATATTTTTATATAACGCCTTATAAGCAACAAATAATCATTTTTATATCGAACACCGAGTAAGCATTGCGATGAGAGGTTATTTTTTTAATGCTACGCTAAAGTGCAGTGTGTTGCAGGATTTTAATAATCGATAGTTAGGTTTTGTATATGTTCAATATATATAGTTGTAGCTCAGACTAAGGATTAATATAGAGAGAGTGTCATAGAACTAAACATGAAGCCAAACAATAATGTTTTAGAATAGTATACAAATGACAATTTGTATGTTGAGTGAAAAGTGAATAAATATTAATAAATTAAAACAGCTAATAGATTTTATTTTATACGATCTGTATGGCAAAATCTTGAATAGTAGCGTAAAGAGCAAATAATAATTTAATTTATAATTATAATTTATTTTGGCGGACTCCGTCTATATAATTCTTTAGTCTGACAGTTGAAATTATATGTTTGTATTTCTGGATTGTTTTATAAAGTAGATTGACGCTAACTATTAGTGATTGTAACAGGAGTAAATATTTCTACAGAGACAGCTTCATACGAAAATGGGTGTATAACGATAAAAAATCCATAGAGTAGGCGATCGATGATTTTGACGGAGACACTGTGAAAAGCACGGGTGGTTTAAAATATCAATTTTTATTTTGAATATTTGATGTTAAAGCGCTGTAAAACCATCTGGCAAGTTATAGTTATTCATGTCAAGCCTAAAGCCGTTTCCCGACTGTCATATAAAAACATATATAACAGTCAGAAAAGCCCATTGAAATAGAGAATGGAGTAAGCAATACTCTTTTAACATTGAACACTCTCTGGAAAGAGAGAAAGCGAACGTGCGGCCAATAGGTACCTGTGTTTTATTCGTATTTGAATTTATAATTAGAATGTAAAAAATGGTAACACAGTTTGACGAAAAAAAATGGTTATAAATATCTATCTTCATTTCTCGTATTTCAATTAATACAAAAGACTTCTGGCCGCATATTCATTTTGTCTCTGTCGCGCCTTTCCGCCATTTTTAGCTTATGGCTAGCAAAGAAATAGTTCACTCTCTATGTCTATGGGAAAACCTCGCCCACGTACGTTCCTATTACTCTATATAGACTCCCCTCGTTAGACGTCTGTGTGGATTAGTAGATTGTAGGCGGTTGTGTGCGTTTTTTTATTGTAACGCGCTCGCTGACATTGTCAACGGCTCGAACCGGAATAAACCGGTTTTGATCATTCTATTGTTATTATTATTGTAGGTTGTATCCTGTACACAGATCCTTCCATAGTTTTAATTTCACCTTAACACTACTACTAGTAAATGTCAAAATTATCGCTCAAACTCATTCGTGTCTTCGTCACAATACGTGATACTAGCAGAATGTATTATATTGTCTTTTAACGCAATGGGGAAGATTTCTCAAAAGGAGGGCGCTACGCGCTATTTACATTCGGTCTGAGGTTAAGCAAAACATTTTCTTTGCATTCTGGCACTGCACAATTTGTCATTATAATTAAATTTAAAATAAAATGAAAAAAAAACCATCCAGGCTATACAGAGCTTTACAATATACTATGGATTATAGTGGTCGCGACA